CAACCCTTGAAATCTCTACCGTTTTTAAGTGTCACTTTTGCTTAAAGAGTAAATAAGATATATATATATATATATATGTATTATTGATTATTGATATTTGGTAATGGGAAAGCCAGGGTTCGTATCCCTAATTTTATAGTTGATTGACATGTATTAATGGCTTTCACATGTATCAATTATTTCCTTTTCAGGTTTCAATTTTGATTTTTTATGACAAAGTTATAGTTAAATTGTTTTTTCTAACCTTTCCATGCAATTTCGCTGGATATATGTAATTTTGCATTAAAATTTACAATTTGTTAAAGGAAAGAAAGAAAGAAAGTTTAAGCAGTTGTTGAGGTAATATGAAGGACACTTTTGACTGCTCTGTTATTATACATTTACATTTTAAGTTAGAAGTTGACCACGCCAATTTGCATTTGATATTACCCCCCAAACAGGGGGAGAAAAAAAAACATAACGGGCCATTTCAGGCTTATTGGGACACTAATTGGGCCTTCATCATACAATGTACAACCCAATTTATTTGGACCTAATCTACCAGGCCCAAATAAAGTGTTCGTCCTGAACAGGAAGTAAGGCCCTCACCCATTGGATTCACAAATCACAAGGGACGTTCTTCCCAAAGTCATGCACGCCCGCACAAATACATATACATATGTCAACCAATCTTAGCCCAATGGTAAAGAGCTGGGTTATAACTCATTAGACTGCCAATGTGAAATTTTTTTTGCTAAAGCATAAAGTATAGGTATCCTCTTATTGGAAGTAATCCTATTTGAGGTACTGTCAAGAACTAAATTTGAACACCTCTCTCAGTGAGAATTCGAACCTTAATTCGCCACGTTGTGAAGGATTAACCCCTTCTGCTAGACTCAACTCCTGTTGGTGCCAATGTGATATTGACATAGTATACAATATACAGAATCTAACATAAGCAGCCCAAACTATGCATGAACCCTCACAAGCTTCTCAAGATCATTTTGATTCATAGTCATGTAACCCCAGTAATACGATTGCTACCTTCATCTTCTGCATCGTCATCGGGCACAACTTTCATATACACAGAAGCAACACCAAGGTAGATGCAAAAGAACACGCAAGACCATATCGCCAACATTAAATAGTACCTATCCAAATGTGCTTCATCCTTGTGGAAGTTCCTGAACCACCTTCTCACAATCAGAATACAAGGAATCCCCAGAATCGTGCCAACGCATGAAACTATGTCTTTTGACACCTTCCCAGGATTCCTCAATGTCTCATTCTCATTATCATTTCCAAACAATTCCTCCAACCCACTTTGGGCAAGCCCTTCCACCAGTCCTAACAGAACATAGTGAGGACACAACCATGCCACGCTGGTCTTGGGGTCGTTTTCCTCAGCCACTTTCTTTCTATCAATCTCTACTTTCCATGCTATGACACAACATATAATGGCACAAACCATTCCGCTGCCAATTCTTACTAATGTGATCCGTTGCTTTTTATTAGCCTTAAACAAGCCAAACATAAGTATTGTGATTTCATTCACGGCGCTCTTTATCACAATCATGAAGGAAAACCTAACCTCCCTCCCCTTTATCGTCAGAGGCTCCATCTTAGTACCTTGTTCTTGGAAGAAAATGTTACCGGTGGCCAAGACTAAGCTGTATGCGATGCAGCTAAACATTAAAAGCCACTTCAAGTTTCTCCCTCGTTTTGGGACGGTGGTGGCTTCTCTGTGAACTGATTGATCGATAGGTCCAGTTCTGCTGGCGCAGAAAAGGAACAAGAGACCAGATGATAGCATTACTATAGCAGAGATCTGAAAAACTCGTACCCACTCGAGTCCTAAGAAGCCAAAGATAGCTATGGTGGCTCCGAGAATCCAAGCACTCTGAATCCATAAATTTTTGCGGAATTCTGCGGCTTTTGTCTCCTCGTTATTGCTGTGGCTTCTTATTGAACCAATATTGTAGCTTTCACATAAATTATGCTCAAGAAATGACTTGAGAGGTTGATCTGCTCCTCCCTTTCCTAATGCGAAAAGAAAAGATACCGCCAAGAAAAGAGGCACCTTCTTCTCTTGAGGACTGTGGCTGGCATAGGACCATAAAATCAGTATTCCCTATCAAAACACAACAAGTATAGCTAGTCATATCAGCATCATGGCATCATAAGTACTTGATAAAATAGACTAGATTGGAACCAGTGGAAACTTACTGCAATAAAAGAACTTGTGGTGACGACAATTGCATAAAAACGATGACCAGGTCTTTCCCTGCTGGTGAAGCGAACAAGAACTATAGCTGTGAGGGAAGCGAGGCCTTCTTGCAGACACAAGAATAGTGCTGCGTCAACTAGTTGCTCTTGCATGGCTTGTTGTGTGTAGAAAGTTATCAGAATCGACACACATGCGTACTCCACCAAGTTGTAGCTTACCAACAAAGCTGTGCGAAGAACAGGTACAGAAGAAAATAATGAATCTATCTAAGGTATAACTGTGTACTGATGATCAGTGTTTTAATCAAATTAAAGGCTCATGCTTCAAAGGTTTTATGATCTTACCCCAGCTGAAGAAGGCACAGGAACTTAGAAGCAAAGGATGGTGCAACCAACTATGTGATGATCCACCAGCATCAATGGTCTCCATTCTGAATTATAACTGTTTGATTGCTGCAATGTCTATAATACAATTCGTTTCCGATTAACGTCAAACTTCCAGGAGCGTTTAATTATTATATTCGAATGTGATTGCTCGTTCTCAAGTTTGGGTATATATCGAGGATTCAAAATGAATGCGGCAAGTTTGTAATCTCTGCTGACCACGCAATTTTTTTAAAAAAAATATCTATCGAAGCATACAAGGGATTTTTTTTAGTAAATCAAGTTGTATTATTAACAACAAATATTCATAATAGATATTTATTACTAATTCTTTTAGCAGTTATCATGGTTATAATGCAAAATATTTTTATAATGTAAAAATATCAGATCATAATTTCGATAATATGGATGATAATTTCATTTAAAATACATATATAGAAATATTTTTTATAGCAAATTAATGAGATCAATATTTAATTTATAAACAGATAGTGGGTTCTAAATTAATGGTCCATTTCTAGAAGTTGAGAATATTGTGAAAGGTGTTTGGCTCGGTAAAACGTTAAAACTTTGCATTATATTTTTGCTTTATATGGTTCTGATTATCTCTCATCAACCAGAACAAGAAATTGATCCCCGAGATTACTAGGTGATTAAAGTCAGCTTTTCACAGTTAATTTAATCTCCTGATGAATTGGTCGGGTAAAAAAGAAAGATGAAAGGAAGAAAATTTCATGAATTTGACTACATACGCTCAGCTAATCCAATCACAAACCTTGCTGACCAAGGCTACCCACCCGCGCGCATTTCCATGATATGATATGTTGAATTAATTCATTTATATTTCTTTTTTTTTTCTTTGTCAAGCCCCATTCATAAAACAAAATTCGGATAGTAACATTTCAGGAAGAATGACATTTAACTTTCAAATAGTTGAATTAATAATAATTAGATATTGAAAAACCTAAATTTTCTATAAAAAAAATAAGTTGAAAAAATTGATTTAAATAGTTGCAAACAAGAATTTTTGTTGCGAATATTGTGATACATGTATAAATTGACCGAGAATGATATTTAAAATTTAAATGACTTGTGTGCAATTAATACTCTTAAATTTGTGCAGTTAATATTTGGATCAATATTTAGAGACAGAAACAACATCCTCCCACGCTCCCTTATTTATGGATTATTTAATTTGAACTTGAGATTAATTTTTATCAGGTCAATAATATTAAAATTAAAATTTTCCTAACAAATATGCTTCTCAGAAATATTCTCCTTCTTCTAAGAAATTATTGGTATACATTAATTAATGAACATAGAGTACTCATCGCAATTTGTGCCATTCATATCGATTTTAGATTGTTCAAATTGAATTTAAAATTTTTATATATTTTAACCAACCTTTTGTTTTAATAAATATAGAATTTAAAATAAATATAATATCATAACTAACATATCTTTAAAAAATATAAATTTATCATTAAAAAAATTGTGCATTAAAAATTTTAAATGTAAACTATCCATATTAGATTTTAGATAATTCATATTGTATTACAATGATGAGCACTGAATGAAGGCCAAAATTAAATCCACCAAATACCCCGGCCCTTAATTACCTCCTCCTACTCGCCATCATGCATGTAAGGTTTGATGAAGCGCACAATCACATCATCATCTCGTATCATCCCCCATATAGGTCACTTACTTATCACTATCGTGAGATTTTTTTTTTTTCTGGAACAATTAGGAACGTACCAATAAACAACCATCTTTATATAACGTAGCGTTTTATGTTAAATTGTTTAGATCCATTTTTATTAATTGATTAAAAATATCATTTCTAAGCTGAATATCTGAATAAGCATGATCCAACTCCCTTTAAATCATCATCTACGGTTTCCCCTGGAGCAAGAAAAATAAAGCAGGTACTTCTTGGCACGAACATTTATGATTTGACACGATTATAGTTAATTATATTAATGGGATTGATGATTCATAATAATATGATACATTAATTATCCTTAAAAGGATGCTCATCATTTATGAGTATTTTAAACTCATCAAACTTAAATCGTCTATATTTTATTTGGATAGTCCAGATTTGATTTCTTTTTAGTTTTATTTGTTCAGAACAATTATTGTGATATATATAAAATCTAAAATAGAAATAATATCTTAATTATCATTTTTTTTAAAAATAAGTTTTTTTATTTAAAATAATTAATTAAAGATTTTAAATCTGAATAATTTAAATCATATATAGACAATCCATATTTAATAAGTTTAGGATGCTCATCACATCAAGATAATGAGCATTGAAACTGGTTCTTCCGTAAAATGAGTACCTAACCTAACACACAAAAGTGTATGATACAAAAGATCTAATGTAAACAAGCCAGAAACTAGAGAAAATGATTAAGCTCCGTAATCTCATTTATTCATGATGAAGATTGCAGTATTTATGGAGGATCAAAAGTGCATAATTTTGAGCAACTTGCTTGACACGTGTTAACCTACCTTAACAATCTAGTTACAGTAAAGATACAGCTGACAACAACTTAAAACTGACACTTATGACAGTTTGTATTTTAACACATGTCTAATAAAACAATCCAAACCGCTCAACCATACTACAGAGATTACGTATAGACTCACTAATCCTAAAGTCATGTTGACTCAACATGAGCCTTGGCGATGCCATTACTACCTTCATCTTCTGCAGCATCAGACACAACTTTATTAAACAAGAAAGCAACGTTAACGTAAATGAAAAAGAACGCACCAGACAATGTTGCCAACATAAAATAGTACCTATCCAAACGGCTTTGGTCTTTGTCAAAGTTCTTGAACCACCTTCTCACAATCACAATACAAGGAATCCCCAAGAACTTGCCCACGCATGAAACCATCTCTTTTGAAAGCTTCCCAGGATTCCTCAGTCTCTCATTCTCATCATAATCATTTCCAAACAATTCCTCTAACCCACTCTGGGCAAGCCCTTCCACGAGTCCTAATAGAACATAGTGAGGGAACAACCATGCCACACTAGTCTTGGGGTCCTTATCGCTTACCACTTTCTTTCTCTCAATCTCTACTTTCCATGCTATCACACAACATATAATAGCACAGACCATTCCACTACCAATTCTTACTAATGTGATCCCTTGCTTTTTGTTAGCCTTAAATAAACCAAATATCAGTATGGTGATTTCATTCACAGCGCTCTTTATTACAATCATGAGAGAAAACCGAACCTCCTTCCCCTTTATCGTCAGAGGCTCCATTTTAGAACCTTGTTCTTGGAAGAAAATGTTACCAGTGGCCAAGACTAAGCTGTATGCGATGCAGCTAAACATCAAAAGCCACTTCATCGCGTTTCTCCCTCGTTTTGGGACGACGGTGGTGGCGTCTTCGTGAACTGATGAATGACTCACAGGCTCAGTAATGTTGGAGCCGAAAAGGAAAAAGAGACCAGATGCGATCATGACTATGAGTGAGAATTCCAAAACTTTTGGCCACTTAAGTCCCAAAAAGCCAAAGATAGCTATGATGGCTCCGACAATCCAAGCACCATGAACCCATATGTTCTTGTAAATTTCTGATCTTTTTGTCGGGCTCGTTCTTTCAGTGGAGCTTCCACATAAATTACGCTCCAGAAATGACTTCAAAGCTGGATCATATCCTGCCTTTCCGAATGCAAAAAGACAAGATACCGCTAAGAAAAGAGGCAAGTTCCTCTCTTGATGTTGGGGTTGCTGTCTGGCATAAGACCATAACATTATCACTCCCTGTCAAAACATAACAGTTATGTATAGTTAGTCATCACCATCGCATCCTGTTTTGATTAAAAGAAGTTGTGTGTGTAATACGAGGGAGCGTTGAGATATATACTTACTGCAATATATGAACCTGTTGTGAAGACAATCGCATAAAAACGACGACCAGATCTTTCACAGGTGAGGCGAGCGAGAACTACAGCTGCGAAAGAAGCGAGACCATCCTGCACACAAACGATTATGGCTGCTTCCGCTAGATGAGTTTTCATAGCTTCTTTCGTGTAGAAGGTGATAATGATCGAGAGACATGCATACTCCACCATGTTGTAGCTCACAGCCAAGCCTGCATATATATATATATAATAAGTAAGAAACTGATGGATTCAAATCATGAGAGCATAGGTGTGTTTTGATCACAAGGATCAAGCTTCAAAGGATATGATCTTACTCCAGGTGAAGAAGGCACTAGGAGTGAAAAGGAAGTGGTCATGCAGCCATCCATTTCTAGCTTGGGCTCGAGAGGATCTCTCAGAAATGGTTTCCATTATGAACTATTCTTCTGTACTGCTGGACACACTACTCTAAATATTTATAGACCAAGAAGTTCAAGCTCCAATGCTTGCGAGACTTTTCGTTACCGAAAGCCGAAGGCATTTGTAATATAGCTCATCTATGGCTCTTAAGTCCCCATACAAAGGATTGAATATAAACGACTCGTTCATAGCTCAAATGCATGTGTTTTAATTTCCTTTTGACCTCGTCTATTCATCGACTAGATGATAATCCTGGGTAAGTTAAGTCAATGCTGGGTGGTGGATGCAGATATTGTCAAGGGTTGGGTGGTCCCACGCCAAATGACGACATGTAATTACCACCCAATCCTAACCGTAGTCGCAGGCCTTAGCGTTATCATCATATCCACCCCATTCACAAATCGCTGTTACGTTAATAAATTCAGTGTGTATATATATGTCTGCCGTGATAAATACTCATATAATAGGGACAAAAGAATATTCAAAATATCGGATTATGACAATAATTGTATGCATGCATATATGTTTAACGTTTTTAAGGGGGCGAAAGAATAAAGTGGAAGACCTGCATTGACTATAACTACAAAGTAATTTTCAATGCAATTATATCAAATATATTTCAAAAATTAAATTTCCACATACATTGAGGGAAAAGTGAGGACAAAAGCGTCTCCTATTCCCTTCTTTTGTAGGAATTCCGAAAAAAAATGTCATTTTTATTGTATAGAATGTAAGAACAATATTAATGGTCCATAAATATAGAAATTCAAATTGGGAGGTATATGAACGATAAATCACTTCAAAATGTCGGATTATGACAATAATTGTATGTACGTATATATGTTTACCGTTTTTTAGGGGGCGAAAGAATAAAGCGGAAGACCGGCATTGACTATAACGACAAAGTAATTTTCAATGCAATTATATCAAATATATTTTAAAAATTAAAATTCCACATACATTGAGGAAAAAGTGAGGACAAAAGCGTCCCCTATGCCATATTTTGTAGGAATTCCGAACAAAAAAAGGGTTATTTTTTGATTGTATAGAAGGTTTCAAAACTGTGTAAGAACGATATTAATGGTCCATAAATGTAGAAATTCAAATTGGGAGGTATATGTTCGATAAATCACTTCAAAATATCGGATTGTGACAATAATTGTATGTGTGATTACCCTTTTTTAGGGGGGCGAAAGGATAAAGTGGAAGACCTGCATTGACTATAACTACAGAGTAATTTTCAATGCAATTATATCAAATATATTTTAAAAATTAAAATTCCACATACATTGAGGGAAAAGTGAGGGCAAAAGCGTCTCTTACTCCATTTTTTGTAGGAATTCCAGACAAAAAAAGCGTATTTGTACAGAAGCTTTCAAAACTTTTTAAGATCAAATATTAGTGGTCCATAAATATAAAAATTGAAATTGGGAGGCATGTGTACGATAAATCACTTGAAGTCAACGATGCAATTTCACTTTACAAATTTAATGGGACGCTGCTGGGGCCTCAATCACATGACCATTTAAAGCACTCAACCCAATTTCACCAACATGTACGTGGATCTAAGCTTTTGGGCCCAACCAAAGCTTAAGCCTGATTCTCCGAAGAATAAAACCCAAACCCAAATTTCCCCAGCACGTACGTGGATCTACACTTTCTGGCCCAAACAAAAGTCTTCAGCTTCAGAGACGAACGCTGGGCTCTGTGAAGAGGACTCGAGATCCGCCCGGACCTGTTGGTTTCATAAAGCCCTTTCTTTTTAATGGATTTTTTTTCCTTCATCTTCCTTTGGGTTTCTGATTTCATTGTTCTTCCGTCCCAGTAAAGGCCGCGGCTTTTATCATCTGGGTAGCAGTGGGAAAATTCCGAGATCCCTCTGTCTGGCATAATTAATGTGTACAATTAATAAAGAAAGAAAAAGGAAAAGAGAAGGATAGGAATTTGTATGGTTTTGAATGGGGGAATAAAGTAATGTAATTGCGTTGACTTGGATCCATGGGAAAGGGTTTTTATAGGAAAGAGTTATGAAATTCATTGCGGCTAAACTGGGGGTGTCTGTGCTGGTCTGTGTCTCCCACAAACAGTGCAAAGCCACTCGTGCATTCCAGAGAGAAGGAGGCAACTCATAGTGGCAACATCACAATTTGATGGAACCTCCCAATATCTCACGCTTCTTATTATATCCCTTCCCTTTGTTACCCTTTCCTTTTGCCTTTATATCATTTTATATATACTTTCACGCACCTAACTCTATACTTTACTTTTGAGGTCAAAACAACTCATTGCTTTTCCTCTTTTCTGCTCATGCTCTCTCTCTCTCTATATATATGTGTGTGTGTGTGTGTGTGTGTGTGTATAATAGGATTAAAGAATACTTTTGCTTTTGAACTATTTCGCAAGGAGTACTGGGTATTTTGACCTATTTATGGGAGAAATACCACCCTTCAAGTGTCAAAATCATTGCAACGTTGCCTCTTGACTAAAAGATATTACCACTGACTGTAAATTTTAAATTGATTTTGGGTAAAGAGGAATTTTGCTCTTAAGATACATCCATAGAGAACTAACTTATTGTACTAAAGTTCAATAATGTGGCTAATTGGGCATTCCTATGTATTTTTCTCAAAGCATGCCACATCATGTTTAGGGGTGTCTATATGATTAATTATATTTGTGCATGTGTGTCTACACACCCACACACACACATGCCATCTTGTTGGCAAAAAGATACGTGCCTTCTTGTCTATTTGAGAGTCCAGTACCTTGAAACATATGCCCCTTTAATCTTAATCAGGGGATCCAGCTATGTTTCTAAAGGGTATCCAGCTTTGTGACCAACTTGATGCTTTTTCTCTGGCGTTATCTTTGCCGGCGTTTGTATAGTACTTGCGGATACAAGAAAAAAGGCTAAATTTCCGAATGATCAGACATATTTTTTGGTTAATGCATGAATTTTAAGGTGAATATATAGTAGTACTCCTTTAAGATAGTACATGATTGGTTTACGCACAAAATTTCTTATGATTCAGTTTTGCATTTACGTAGATTAGATAAACATGGGGGAAACTGCAGATAGTAGTGAGCGTAATGGAGTTGATGAGCATTGCCAAGGAGGGGGGTGGCAACTTTAGACAGGGAAATCTATAAGAAGGGATCAACGTACAAAGAGTGACCAAAAGTCACCCCCCAAAAAAAAAAAGCATAAAGCAACAAAAGAGGATTTTGAAGAAAACAGGTGAATAAGACTGTCATGAAGGAAGGCCAAAAACATCATCAAATTGATACCCAAAACGAAACCTAAAAGACAAAGAGGGTTTCACGTGTTCAAACCAAATCATCCTTTCTTTCTTCCCTTTGTTCCCTTGGCCCCTCCACATCAGGTAACAGCAAAATCCATCATTAATCTCTTATTTTCATTTCCCTCTAAACTAATAACTCAAATCCTTACCCTTTTAATATCTTCCACGCAACACTCCAGCTTTAGATTTTGCTTAATTACACTTGTCTCTTTGTGCTCTTCACTCTTCAGACTTTCCAAAGCTTGCTCGTGATGGCTTGCTGTGATTAATCGCATTAATTAACAACTCATTGTGTTTGGAATTGTTATATAGTTTTTCTCATTCGCAGTGACTCAAAGAAGTGCTTCCTCTAATTCTTATACCCTCAAACAAATTCACTAATTAGGGGATCGTAGGTTGTTTGATTAGTTAGTAAATGTTAAGACAAGGACATTTAGGGAAAAAAATTAATACTTTAAATAAAAAAAATTTATGTTAAAGACCTATTATAACAGGAAAAAGTACCATGATAATAAGGATTAGAGGGAGTATTAAATATTGTATTCTTACTAACTAAACTTCGAAACTTCAAGGCTAAACTTTAAAGGGCTTACCATTTATTGTGAGCAATTTGGGATGCAATTATAACAGTATGTGGCGGTCTATTTAATGTAGGAGACAATCTTAATTGTTGTCTATATTTTGGATGATGGATGTCAATACATATGGAGATAATTGAGTTGAATTATTATTTGCTGAATTAACAACTGACAATTCTTCAAAATAATCAATTATATATATGCAATGATGTATATTAAGTCAATCAAACTCTCCATTTTCAATCAACTTACAGGTCATGAGATTATACCTGGTTCACATCCTCTGCCACTAAAACTGAAACATGTTCTCCGAGGAAAACGAAACTGGAATTCTTTCATCTATAGCTAGGTTATTGCCATTTCTTTCAAACAAACGATAATACATCATATGGATCAATTAATTTTTTTTACAGAAAAAAAAACCTCAATTGAATAAGCTTATAGACAAAAAAAAATTGGCAAAAAAGGTATATAACCTAAAATGACCCGCGGTGGATACCTTAGACTTGACCCAAAAAAATTGGTAAGTTGATGTGTTTTAAAAATTTTTTTTTGAAATTCTAAATTTTATTTAAGAATAACTCAGAATTGGTTCACATCATAGAAACTGATAGTTTCTATTAACGATGATTTAAATGCTAATAATAATCATTACTTTCAAAAAAATTCACAGGAATAAGTTACTATTAATACTTTGTAAGTTTATACCGCTCATAATTTTTAAGATTACAACGTGATGTTGCAGATGTTAAAAGGACAAATTTTTTTATAAATAAAATTTTGGTTTGTCACTAATATATACAGAGTTTAAAAGTCGTTAACTGTTATTTCTCCTTAATAAAGTGATCTGATTGATTTAATTAGCAGGAAGCAGCGTCAACATTAGGTTATATAGGAAGAGAAAGGGGTCCTACAAAAGATCCATTTCATTCAAATAACCTCACAAAGTGAGTACAACGCCACGTGACAAAGTGATCCAAAGAGAGTGAGAGGCGTGGACATACATGAGGGAAGAAATCTGAAGAAGAAGATCGGAAGAAGAAGAAGAAGGAAGAGGAAATTAAGGGGTGGCTTTAGTTGGCCCTCTGTGTCTTTTGTCCTAGGAAGGGAGGCACGTGATGCCCACGAGGGGGCCCCTCTCGAATGTCTGTCTTCGATCCCTCCAAATTATTACTTGAAATAAACCCTAACCTATTTCCTACCTAT